ACTACTACTACTACTACTACTACTACTACTGCTACTACTACTACTACTACTGCTACTGCTACTTCTACTACTACTACTGCTACTGCTACTACTACTACTACTGCTACTACTACTACTGCGACTACTACTGCTACTACTACTACTGCTGCTGCTACTACTGCTACTACTACTGCTACTACTACTACTGCTACTACTACTACTACTACTACTACTACTACTACTGCTACTACTACTACTACTACTGCTACTACTACTACTACTACTACTACTACTACTGCTACTGCTACTTCTACTACTACTACTGCTACTGCTACTACTACTACTACTGCTACTACTACTACTGCGACTACTACTGCTACTACTACTACTGCTACTACTACTACTGCTACTACTACTGCTACTACTACTACTGCTACTACTACTACTACTACTACTACTACTGCTACAATTCAAAGAGAGTTTACTGGAGAACTCTTTGCAGACAAATCCATCCCCACGTCATGTGCAAAGAAGGGAGGAGCCACCACAGATTGAGAAGCGTCAGTCTGAGTAACAAAGGAGATTCTTTGTGTATCTTAGGCCCTGCATTGTCAGCCTCCGACGACGCATTTACTCTAATCATAAGTTATAATTATTTATTTATTTCAATTGTGGACATGACAATACAACACTTATTGCAATTAGATTTAATATAATTGTAGTCCTGTCACACAAACGAAAAGAGGCAGACAGAAGAATGTTTTATTTATGTTGCCTGCCCCTTTCTTATAACATGTGCAAATTAAATACACAATAATGAAGATAGCACTCCTCAAAGGGGGAACAGTCTATGCACAGAGACATATCCATCTCTAGGGTGGGCCTGCGTTGTCAGTACATGTGTAAAGAAGGCCATCGCTGACGTCTGGGGGTCGGAGCTTTTTGTCTGTAGATCAGCCACATTTTGGGTTTTACCAATTCACACTTGAGGGAAATGTCACTGAAAGTCCAAGATCTATTTTCTCAATTTGCTAAAATAAAAAGGCCTGGATAGGATCTGTTCTTACTTATTAAATACAGATATACATACACTAATTATGACACTAATTGTGGTTCCAGAGGTTTTTCACTTTGCTCCCACTGGGTTTTAGAGATGTGTGTTTAGAGTCTGTTAGTCTTGGTGTTTGAACTCTTTGATTCTCGGACCTGTGTTGGCGATTTCAACAGTTTTGTGAAGTCCTCTGAGAAACTACTGTTGTGGTTTTGGGAAGTACATGAATACATTGAATGGAGTTTCCTCAGTGCATGGCTGTAGTGTGGGTTATACGGTGAGGACGGTTTTAATTCAAAAGTCTACAGTTTGTAAAATGCACTTTCCAGTAAGGTTTTTGCGGTTCACGATTCTGTTGTGCGTCTCAGCATCAAGTGTCCGATGCATCCATTCAATCTCGACGTCAATATGTTTCCAGAAAGTGTGCTGCATTAGAGCTCACCCGATCTGCAGTCTTTGACACCGTGTTAAAGGGAACATGAACCGCATGTTTGAGCCGCTCATATCTGGCCCCGAAGAGTTTCAGACCTGCCCTGTCATCTGAGAACAGTCCAAAACCTCTGAGAGAGAAACCACTTCACTCTCAGTATACAGTACATGCAGACTCAGCCCTCAGTGTCTCAGTATACAGACTCAGACCTCTCTAGTCTCAGTATACAGACTCAGACCACTCTAGTCTCAGTATACAGACTCAGACCTCTCTAGTCTCAGTATACAGACTCAGACCTCTCTAGTCTCAGTATACAGACTCAGACCTCTCTAGTCTCAGTATACAGACTCAGACCACTCTAGTCTCAGTATACAGACTCAGACCTCTCTAGTCTCAGTATACAGACTCAGACCTCTCTAGTCTCAGTATACAGACTCAGACCACTCTAGTCTCAGTATACAGACTCAGACCACTCTAGTCTCAGTATACAGACTCAGACCTCTCTAGTCTCAGTATACAGACTCAGACCTCTCTAGTCTCAGTATACAGACTCAGACCTCTCTAGTCTCAGTATACAGACTCAGACCTCTCTAGTCTCAGTATACAGACTCAGACCTCTCTAGTCTCAGTATACATGCAAACCTCTGGCTCAGTATGCATTCAACATACACTACTCAGAGTGGGGGAGATACAGACCAACACTATTGTTTGTTACAGGGACAAGAAAGGGACAAAAAGTCTGAAATATCAGCCAATGACTGTCATTAAATCTGTTCGATTTGTTCAGAACCATGAACTGTTAATGGACGGGAAATTTTAGCTTTAATTTAACGAGTTTAGTTGCGCTTCGGGAGGAGACGGGAAAACATGGACACTTCCTGAGGCTCCATAGTCCAGCTCTTTATACACGCACAGAGAAGGGTTTTGTGTGTGTATGGTCCTGGGAACAGTATGACCACTTTAAGGCTACACTCTCGCCGTCAAAGCGGAACACAGCCGAGTACATACAGCAAACAAGTGCCCCGCGGTCACTTTCGCCCCCCTCCAACAGATCTCCACGGATTCACACATTTCACAATTGTATGAGGCCGGCAGACCTCATACAATTGTTTACATTGAGCATTTGATTTTCAGACATGAAAGTAATTTGGTTTTCATCCAAGTAAGCACATAACTGTCCATTAACGTTCTTGCTTTAGCTTCAGTTAGAAAAACCAAAGCAATGAAACACATGCAGTGGAGGGAATGTTCCAGAGCATTGATCACGATGGGTGCCCATGTCTGTAGAACACATATTACATACATTTATACTGTATTACCACAGGTGTACAGACACAGCTACATACCTATTATAAGCTCATGTCTCTAGTATTCAGGAATATTGACATCTCAATGAACGTGTCTGGGTTTGCAAGTGCATCTGTATATTTAAATGGGTAGGGTGTGATTCTAAAGTTATTTGCATGCTTTGTATAGTAGTATTTGCTTTCACAAGGCAAACTAATCACTAAAATGGTTGTTGGTGAGTCCTGCAGAACATTGAACATAGAAAGAGACCCTTTAATAACCGGCTGTAACTATTTCCTCCCTGCAGCCTACTTTATCCAAATTAAATTACATGAGATTGACTTGTGCCAGTTCTAAAAATACTCGTGTCCGGTCCATTGTTTGTGACGGGAAACAGATTAGCGTGATCGGCCGCACAAGTGGGCCAATCGGCTGGGAAAGCGGCGACCGGCGACAAATGACTCTGAGAGGAGAGAAGCGAGAGGGGAGGAGAGAGGGGACAGGAGGGGAGGTGAGGTGAGGAGAAAGGGCAGATGAGGGGAGAGAGGAGCTGGAAGAGGAGAGGTGAGCGGGTGTAGGAGAAGAGAAAAGAGAGGAGAAGCTGAAGAGGAGAGAAAACAGAAGGGAGGCCAGCCAGGGGAGGAGCCGGGAGGGAGGGGACGAGAACATGCAAACTCCCCTTCTAGGTCGAGGAGAAAAGAGAGACGGGTGAGAGAGGGGAGACATGAGAGGGGAGAGGAGAGAGGGTCGGAGAGAGACTGGAGAGAAGAAAATGGAGATGGAAGACAGGAGAAGAGTGACAGGAAAAGAGAGGTATAGAGAGACTGGAGAGGAGAGAGGGTACAAGAGAGAGGAGGGGAGGACAGACGGGGGAGAGGAGAGAGAGTGTATAGGAGAGACTGAGAGGAGAGACAGTCGAAGAGAGAGGGTAGGGGAGAGATGGAGAGATGAGAGACTGAGAGGACAAACAAGAGAGAGAGGAGGAGAGACAAAAAATGGAGATGAGAGAGAGGAGAGGAGTGACGAGAGAGGAAGGACAGGAGATGAGAGGGGGAAAGGAGAGACGGGAGAGGAGAGGGTAGAAGAGAGATGGTAGAAGAGAGACAGGAGAGGAGAGGGGGGGAGGAAGGACGGGAGATGAGAGAGAGACTGGAGAGGGGGAGGCAGAGGTGAAGCCAAGCCCAGGCCGGTGTCTGAACACATGGTCCCTGTGTGTGAGGAGTCTCTGCAGCTGCACTCTGCACACGTCCTCTGCCCCACTATGTTCCGCTGTGTGTCGAATTAGCAAAAGCAAGTTTGAAGGAGGATTTACAATGAATGAGTGAAGCCCATGGCCGCACAGGGAGGATAGTGCACGTGAGGATAGTGCACGTGAGAGCGCATAAAACATAAAGGCTCGTTTGAGTTTATTGGGAAGCTGGGGAGAAAGAAGGCGACGCTTGAGGTATCACTGATTCCTACAGATGGAGAAAGTCTGTATTCAAAAAGCTATTTTCTCCATTTTTCAATCCAATGTACTCTGATATAGCCCTTAATAACACCAGTAGTTATCTCCGAGGACTTAACAAAACAAGTTTGCCAACACAGATCAGAGAATCTAACAGTTTAAAGATGCAGTCAGGGATTTTTTCCAGGCGTATTTTTCAAAATATTTTGGGAAAACGTCCCAAAACCCTAAAAGTATCAAGTTTTCATGTGTTTTAAAACAGTAATGGAATTGACCAGATGTTCTGTTTGCCTGTGCTACAACTGAAGGATTTTATCTCCATTTCTAATGCACTGCTGTCATTTATTTATTTTTTTAAATTTCTTGTGTAATTTTGAAAGTTTTAATGGTTTTATTCTTTTGTGTGATTTTAATGTTTTAATTGTGTTTTAATCTTTTGTGTGATTTTAATGTTTTAATTGTGATTCTGGTGTTTGTTTTATGTGATGATTTGTGATGTGGACTGTGAAGCGCTTTGTGTTGCCCTGTGTATGAAAGGCGCTCTACAAATAAACTTTGACTTTGATTGATGTCTATAGTCTCCGAAGATTATAAAAAAATATTTTGGAGCGGACTGATAAAACTAAACCAATGGGATTCGTTCATCCCCAACGAACCAATGGGATCTGTTTACCGCCTTCACCCTCTTCCTGTTTCCCAGAGTGCACCGGAGTTATCGGATTTACTAAAACCTAAAATTGCTGAAAAGAAAATGCCAATTTCACGTTTGCTTCACTCTCCCTGTGACAAAGAAAAGGAAATGCTGGATGTTTGGTTTGGTGGAGAGGGGAGGGGGGGAGTGGTTTGGTGGAGAGGGAGGAGAGGGGGAGTGGTTTGGTGGAGAGGGAGGGGAGGGGGAGTGGTTTGGTGGAGAGGGAGGAGAGGGGGAGTGGTTTGGTGGAGAGGGAGGAGAGGGGGAGTGGTTTGGTGGAGAGGGAGGAGAGGGGGAGTGGTTTGGTGGAGAGGGAGGAGAGGGGGAGTGGTTTGGTGGAGAGGGAGGGGAGGGGGAGTGGTTTGGTGGAGAGGGAGGGAGAGGGGGAGTGGTTTGGGGAGAGGGAGGAGAGGGGGGAGTGGTTTGGTGGAGAGGGGAGGGGGAGTGGTTTTGGTGGAGAGGGGAGGGGGGAGTGGTTTGGTGGAGAGGGGAGGGGGGAGTGGTTTGGTGGAGAGGGGGGGGGGGAGTGGTTTGGTGGAGAGGGGGGGGGGGAGTGGTTTGGTGGAGAGGGGAGGGGGAGTGGTTTGGTGGAGAGGGGAGGGGGGAGTGGTTTGGTGGAGAGGGGAGGGGGGGAGTGGTTTGGTGGAGAGGGGAGGGGGAGTGGTTTGGTGGAGAGGGGAGGGGGGAGTGGTTTGGTGGAGAGGGAGGGGAGGGGGGAGTGGTTTGGTGGAGAGGGGAGGGGGAGTGGTTTGGTGGAGAGGGGAGGGGGGAGTGGTTTGGTGGAGAGGGGAGGGGGAGTGGTTTGGTGGAGAGGGGAGGGGGAGTGGTTTGGTGGAGAGGGGAGGGAGGGGGGAGTGGTTTCCAGTTGGTGCTACGGCTAAGCTAACAACAGCGCTTACCGCACCTTTAAAGCTTAGGTACACAACTTTCAAACATCAAACCACAACAAGGGAACTACATGTAACACACTCCCTGTCTGTTTGGTTAGTTCAGCTTTTTCAGACTGAAAAATGAACAAGAAAGAACTAATCTCCATCAAACAGTGGCTCACAGGGATCTTTCTCATGAAAAAGATGCAGCACTGTCCAGTAGGATGAGACTGGAGCTATATGATAAAAACAATATGAATAGTTCTTTTGCAAAAACAGATGAGTTCCATCAGAAAAATATGTTAATCTCTTAAAATATATTTTTTAACCAAGTTGTTTTCTGAAACGCCTGATCTATTTTAGTGCCAGACACATATAATTTCACTTCTTCTTGAGAAAATTCTTGCAAATGTTATGCAAATAACAAGACAGATTGAAGGTTGTAGCTGGAGGAACATATTCTTTAACAAATTCTCAAACGGAGATATCTGTTTTTGCATTTGAACTCTTCATATATGACAGTATATTATATATGTTAATGGTTGTTTATGAACTGTGATGCATTTTGGGTAACTTTTGTAACACATGCAGAAGCCTGAAGACTAAAAAAGTATTGATAGATTGTATGTGGTGTGATGGACCTCTAATGTATAAACTTCTGGGAGTTCCATATTCACAATGTGGCACATGTACTTTTAGGGACTGTGTGAATAAACTAAACTAAACTAAACTAAACTAAACTAAACTAAGCTCTGGTACTTTTCCACTTGTTCTGGTTCATCTCAGGCCGAAGCCACTGGCGTCGGGTCAAATGCTGATTGGACGGTCTACGCTACAATATCACTTTCATTCTGTGATTATTTGTTCGTGTCTCGTCTACAATCCACAATAAAACATGTTTTCTGTCTGGCCGACACGATCCTAGACGTTTCCTCGAACGTTTTGCAAATAAGGATCGATTGATGGATCTTTCTATAAAGTGATTTGTCAGTGGACATTGGGAGACTTTGCCAACGGACTACAGTATTACACAGATAACAGAAATATGGAGGACGCAACATTATCATCATCAAAAGCACAAGTGAACGTTGTTTCATCTCTATCATCATGAAATTAAAATAGTGATTAATTCCTTCACCACATCATATCTGCACCTCATCTACAGCAGCACTACTGCCTTGCCTATTCAGAACATTCAAGTCCACAGCGGCTAAACTAAACTGGTTCCAAAAAAATACTCCCCTCATCAGTGGCGGCATCTGGAACGCTACGTTGGACCAAGAGCGACTTTTCGACCATTCTGTAAAAACACTTTCGAGGCGGCATACAAAAGCATTGGGTAATTCTCTTTCTGGGTACACCCCCACCGGCCTGGAGTGAGATTGCAGCATGTCAGTGCAAGTGCTCATGGACCTTTTTGAGCCCGGACCCGCCAACACTGCTTACAATTTGTGTAAAAAAAAAAAAAAAAAAAGGACAACAAACTACCAGAATTCCGATACAAACAGATCAAAACCAAGGTGCCACTTTTAACATTTCTGGATGCCATACCACTACGCAGGAGGACGGACGCGTAGCTGAGACTATCAAGTCAGTTTTAGCAGAATCTCCAATTTCTTTTTTGAAAGATGAACAGCGAGAGGCGCTATGTGCATTTCTGGACGGCAAAGATGTTACCGGGATTGGTTTAAGTCAAACCTTGGTAGGCGGGCACACAGCGTCACTTCGCCCAATCAGCTTGAAGTATTCTGCTGCTTATCCCTCCTTTCCCCGAAAGGATTCTCCTGCAGAAGTCCCAGATTGATATTGTGGAGAACGCATTAGAGTTCTACACAATCATCCATCTGCCTCTTGCCAGGTTACTATACTACTGCTACACACAGATATATTAGATTTAATTGACACATATATGTGAAAATAAAATACTACAAACACTTGAAATAATAAAAATATTGGGTTTACTTGATGCGATGCAGCAGAAACTGTCTTAAGAGATTTCCAAGTTACTTTCTGACACTTCACTAACGATGCATCTACGCTGTTTATAAAACCGTCAGAATTTTAAGTGGTGAATGTGCGAGCAGCGGATAATTTACTACTAAAGAAACGACAAGTTACTTCAGACACTTCACATTTGAATATCAGTTCCATAATCCCAGCCTCCGTTTAGGGAAGTGTTTTTATGGCCTGACAAGGTGACAACTCAATAAAAGCTTGTAGTGCCTGATCCTTTCTTCTCAGCAGATGTTACAAATACTTATAATAACCATTACTGCAGAACGCCTAATATGTCACTGTGTTTCTTTGTAATTGTCTTTCAAGAGATTTCAATGATTTGTGTTTGCAACTGATTCAATTTGAAAAGTTAAAACATCCAAAGGCAAACTGAAGGGTAGATCCGACCCTGAAACTTTGACTGAATTACAGACAACAAAGAAAAGGGCTTAACTTATTTGTTAAATATTAATGAATGAATAATGACAAGTAAAGTGTCTTTGAGAGTCCAAATAACGCTGTATTAAAACCATGCACAATTTATATGTTTTATAAAATAAGACATTAGATAGATAGAAGAAACTTAGGAATTAAAAACAAACAGCAGTGAATGAAGTACCTAAATCATTAGCAGATAGTACAAGCTCGGACTCTGGGGACCACAGGGACTGGCCTCCTGCTGGGACTCTGAGGACCACAGGGACTGGCCTCCTGCTGGGACTCTGAGGACCACAGGGACTGGCCTCCTGCTGGGACTCTGAGGAGCACAGGGACTGGCCTCCTGCTGGGACTCTGAGGAGCACAGGGACTGGCCTCCTGCTGGGACTCTGAGGAGCACAGGGACTGGCCTCCTGCTGGGACTCTGAGGAGCACAGGGACTGGCCTCCTGCTGGGACTCTGAGGAGCACAGGGACTGGCCTCCTGCTGAGACCAGCAGGAGCACAGGGACTGGCCTCCTGCTGGTCCCAGAGCCAGGACTGAACATAGGGAGATAGATTTTCAGATTTCTTCCTGAAATTGTGAGACAGGCTTCAACTCTGACAACATCAAGACCAGGTTGGAAACAGTTCTGCCTACTAAGGATTGTGTCTCTATAATATTTTATGTATACTATACTGTACGTTAACGTTTTTATGTGAACTGTGAAGCACTTTGTTTGTGGAGAGATTATCATACACAGAAATACTCAAAGATGATTGGATGTATTTATATTTGTCAGCGGACACGTTGTGAGTCCGTAATGCACTACATTATTGCACCATATTGAACGCACAGGGTCAGCAGTGTCCGCAGATCATAACACTCAAGAATAAATCAGAATATACTGAATCTAATCTATAAAACATGTCCTTAAAAGCAGACATGAGGAGTTGACTGGAGCTCAGCGATGTCTGGATGTGTGTTGAGAGCGATAGGGGATCACACAATGATTACACAATACATTTGGCTGCACCACAAAGGGCTCATGATTCTATTTGTCTAAGTGACATGCTGCTAATGTCATTACTGCTGTGTGCTCTTAATCCTTCATTTCCTTTAGTGCAAACAAACAATATGTCTTTTCTCTGTGGATTTCTGTGGGAGTGAAGCCACATCACGGAGAGTGGACGCAGATCACACAAAGCTCGTAACAGATGCACAGTTAGATTGGACTCTGTAATGAAGCTCTGACTGACACAGAATCAGGTGGTTTAAAGTAGAGCTGCAAGACTTATCACAATCAAATCATAATAACAGTATTTTACCTCCAGCTGGCCCAGTCTGGGAATCTCAAAGGCAGCAATTAGATCAATCTTTCGTGAACACATGGATATTTAGTGATGTGTTTATTTGAAAGGGACAGACATGTGAATGAACAGACTCAGTAAAAACATGCCAGATCACAGTCAAAAGCTAATTTCCATCTGTGTCACATATGTTTAGGGTCAGGAGTCAAGGTAAGGCTTAAAAACAACAACATCAACAACAAAAAACAAACGAGAAAAAAAAAAAAACAGAGCTTACATAACCACACAGGCCATAGTCCCCACATTAATAGTTATTGCACACATCCCGTTATTGCACGCATCTAAATATTGCACACGCCGCGTTATCCCACACATCTTGTTATTCCACACATCCTGTTATTGCACACATCTTGTTATTCCACACATCTTGTTATTGCACACATCCTGTTATTGCACACATCCTGTTATTGCATACATCTTGTTATTGCACACATCCTGTTATTGCACACATCTTGTTATCCCAC